ATATGTGTCATTTCCACGGGCACCACGGCCTGCCCTCCCATATGGATCGGCTTGGGGATCACCTATGTGGCATCATTGTAGCTACGACTTGTGCACAAAGCAGATGACTACATAGCCAGTAGCAAATGGTACGTACTACGAGCACATAAACCTCTATGTCAATCATAACAGTCCACCATCCGGAAGACTTTCTGCGAACCCTCCTCCGGTGAACACGTACTCGTACGTCCATCCGGCAAACTGTTATTTATACTCACCATTTAATGATATGACCTAGCCTCGTTTAGTGTTAGCTTGCAAATAGATACCAAATTTGGCATTATCTCGATGATCTTAAATGTACCGTTTCAGTTGATCTGCCTAAACAATTGAAGAATCAAATGTATGATAGAAAAGCAGAAAACATGTAAAAAAGAACCATAAAAGCGTCGGAGTGGTTTTTCACTTACAAAACAAGTTTCCAATGGTTAGTGAAACTCGTTACCCATATGTTGTCCAAAGGCAGTTCCACTCGTAAATACTAAAATACAGTTCTTGATGTTAATATATATATTTTTCCGTCTTAATATTTATTATATTTATTTGCGCGTAAAAAAAAGAGATATTTATTTACGCGTGAAAAAAAGAGATATTTATTTACGCGTGAAAAAAAGAGATATTTATTTACGCGTGAAAAAAGAGATTTATTTACGCGTGAAAAAAAAGTAGTGAAAAAAGGTATTTATTAGATATTTATTTGAAAAGAAAGTATTTATAAAAAAAGTATTTAGTTGTGTCTGAAGAGATGAAGAGATGAAAGAGATGTGTATTAAACAAATAAAAGAAAAAGAGCTGTATAAATATTATTTTTTTTGTTGTACAAGCTTTTCATATAAGTATAAATGATATCATTACGTATGATTATATTGTAGCTTTTAATTACCTAATCATGATGTATTTACCTTAATATACATCTTTTATTCATATTTTTAGTTGAGTAATGCTAAAACTGGACATGATTGGATAAGATAATGCGCAGTAAATTTATTAGGCAAGTGTGCTTATTATTCGAAGATTTAAACCAAGATTATATTACTTGTTGAGATTAGTTGAGCCTTCGCAACATCCAGATTATTTTTTTTTATGTTAAAAAAATAGATACTTATAATGGTAATTTAATAGAGTTTAACTCCACTTTATGATCTTAGTATTGAGAAAGATATTATTTAACAAAAATATCAACTGTGAAATGTTTAATATGCTATGATTACTATATTTGGAATGGTCCGTTTCGTGATGTTTGTAAGCACAATCATATAGCAAAAATTTATCAACAAACACAAATAAATAATTTATTATATCAACAAGTAAAAGCTGATTTAGTAAATTATTTAAAAATAAGCATAGAGAAAGTATTTCTGACAGAAAAGAAAAATGAATTAATTAATTTACAATGGTCAGTGATATAGAAGCAACATTTGAAAAGATCGTAAAAATTGAAATGCGAGGTAAATTCATTAAATTGCTTCTTAATTATTTGTTAATACTATTATAAAAAGGTGAGCAATTTTCAAGCTAATAGAATACAATCGGATATTAATAAATCCTTTTCGTCCAATTATGCCAAATAATCATGGAACAACAAGCATTGGAGTACCACCTATACCTACAGCAAAGCCATGAAAACCTTCAAGAATTCTTCAAGCAGTTCAACAAATGCTCAAGAAACAAGCTCATTTGCATCTAAAAAACGAACTACAAAAAGAAGAATAAGAAAAAATATTCAAACCGCCAAAGTATAATTTAATATTATTTATTCTTAAAACATAATTACTGCTATATTATATTGATTTACTGTAGGAACAAACCAAAGAACAACATATTAGTGAAAATCCTACCGAATATTATCAAAACGAATTTTATGAATTTTATTCTAATATGATAAATTTTCCCAGGCAAGGATTGCAAAATCCTCTTACATTATCATCTTTTACTCTTCAATCTTTACTTCTCGGTCTATTACTCCTTATTCTTACGCACACTCTACAGACTCTTTTACTAGTATTCATCTTTCACCTTCTAATTACGAATATACTTCTTTATTCATTAGCTGTAAATTCACACTTTTCGTAAAGAATTCGTTAATTTCACATTTTCCTAATGGACAAGAACAGCAGTTTGCCACTCTTTCAAATAACTATACGCTGAATACATAATTCATTTACAAATGTTAATATTGTATCATCCTAAGCACCACCCGATTTTAAGCACCACCTCGACTTTAGAAAAACAAAAATAAGCACCACATTAAATTTTTATATTTATAAATAAGGAGTAAAGCGCAAAAAAATTTTCAAAGTATCAAAAAAAAAAAATATGAAAAAACTTCCGAATTTAAACACCACCAAACTTAAGTGGAAATTTTCCTTTAAAAATGTGGTGATAAAATCGGAAGGATACGATAATCCGAATTCAAAGAATAAAGTAAAAGAATCTAATATTTTGTACCTCATAATTCAAAATTCAAAATTTAAAAACTGCAAATATCAAAAAAATAAACATAGTTTTTATTTTATGAAATAAAATTACATTTTTTTTTGTACAGCATAAAGAAAAACATATTTTGATTCGTTCTCGTGAAAAAAAAAAAAATTTTTTTATCACATTATAAATGCCAAAAAGGGGGTACATCAACTTGCATGTAGTTGCATATTTTGATGGTGTTGCAACAATGCAACACGGATACTTGCTTATTAAGATAACGTGCAACGATAGTAGCAAATTAGCATCGATTCATTTATCGAGTGGGATGCTAAAACAAGTCCTTCGGTACACTCCGGACTACTATAAAGAGATATGCAAGGAGAGTGTTACACTTCTATTCATATACAGCATGGTTCAATCACTTTTTAATTTTTTCTTTTTTTGGCTCAAAATTTTTATTGTTTGTCAAATAGGGGATAAAAAAATCAATTTATGCAGGTTAACAAAAAAATACTAGAAGTGTTTCACCCAGTGAATTCCGAAACCTCTGAACCCCTAATTCTTTCTTTCTAAGTTACGTATTTCAAAAATGATTCAGAGTATGAAATGGGCCATCACTATACCTATAATAGCAAAAACTATTATGCTACGATTACAAATAATGGTGGGTATTTGAGCATTATCGCTGGCTCCATTAGCTATAATGGTGATATTATTATTGCTATTATTGTTGTTATGATTATTATTGTTGTTATTATTATTATTATTGTTGTTGTTGTTGTTGTTGTTGTTGTTATTATTATTATTATTATTATTATTATTATTATTATTATTATTATTATTATTATTATTATTATTATTATTATTATTATTATTGCCATTATTATTATTATTAGGAAATGGTTGATATGGTTGATATGGTTGATATGGGTCTTTACTTACAAAAATAGTACATGTATTCTGAAACTCACAACCGGGTCCATTAGTGCGTATAATAAATTCAAAATTTCCGGTATTTTTAGGTATAAATGTAGCTTTCGGTTGTTCATCCGTTAATGTTGCATGAACTAATTTTAGAAAAAAAACCCATTTTTTAAAAGAAAAATAATGATGATGGGCTTGATGGCATAACTGACGAGAAAATGTATACCATTTTTACTTACAAGAATCAGGTCTTTCGGATTTTGTACAATGATCATATTCATCGAGTATAAACGTCTTAGTGCCTGTTCTTATAAATACTATCTAATAAAAAAATAATAATATTTATTTATTTAAAGGAATTTGTTGCATGTTGATGATTTAAATGAAATAAAACCTACAGGCTCATTATAATATGCACTAACGAACGAGGGGTTAAACGTAGAATATAAACCACCTCCAACTTGAACATCTATTGCATTACCATAATTAACCGTGAAAACCAAGATAGCCAAAAAATAAGTAATAATATTTTTTTGAGACATTCTTTTTTAAAACAAGAAAGAGTTCGAAAGTATTGTAAATAGATAAATTTAAATAAATGTGCATTATATATTTCGTACTTCATTGACGGATGTACTTGTACTTTTATTTTACTATGTAAGGCATATTGGCAAATTTCAATGTAAGTGTGAACTTGTGTAACTTAAATAGTAATTGCTTTATATATTTTTTGTCAAACTATAATATACTAATCTTTTTATCGTGATAATTGATATAGGTCGTACCATCAATAGAATACACTGCTTTTACAGAGTTTTACCTTCGAAATCTCTTTCTTCACCCACAAATATTACGAGGTCATTATCATTTTTTGCAAATATAGAATCCGTACCAAGAAATCTGACTTACAAATGATTGTCGCGATCGCCACCTTCCATAGCTTGAACTTGCGTTCGCGGATGTACTACCTTTGATGAGAAAGAATAAAGTGATAGACATAGCGGTTGGTTTGGAAGTCTTTAACCAACCCACTCCTATTTATTATCTATTATACTTTTCAACTAGATTTTATGAGTTTAAAATTGTCCCCTGATATAAATAATTAAAAGCTAAATTACATGGCTCAATTGTAACTGCGGTTTGACCGGTTAATTTTTTTCCCGATCTGAGTGATACGATCTAGAATTGAACAGGGCTAAAATATTGAAATTGTTATCTTGACTTCAATGTTCGTCCTACTCCAATTCAGAAATTTCACAATGTAGATTTATCTCATATTTTCAGAGATATTTATCTTTTATTATTTCGTTTAGTTGACCAATGAAGATTTTAGATGTTGGGTAGGTTCATGTTAAATCTTCATAAAAAAAAGGTCGAATTTTCGAATTTTATATATTGAAAAATTTTTAATTTATTATTTGTTCGTTTTATTTCGTTCTTTGAACTTGTTATTTGATGATGAAAACTTGAATAGACGGAAATCGAAATGTTATTTATAAATTGAAACAAGCAACTTTTCGTTGTAAAATTACAAAACAGTCGATTATCTTAAAGTTTGAATTTCGTATTAGTTACTCTTATAATTCACAATCTCGAAGTAAAATTTAAATTATTCATGTATCCATGATCTTTTAGTGTTTCAAATATCCTGATATTTAGAGGTTGGAACCGACCAAAAAAAACCTTAACCGATAAAAAATGGGGACGGAATTCTTCCCGCCGATCATCTTGTCCATAAATTTCAGGACGGAACAAAAGGCAAAAAGTGCTTAGGAAAAGTTTTTATTTTACGCATTTTACCATGACCAACTGCTTATTCACTCCTTAACGAACAGTTTGATGAGTTTTGCCAGGGTTCACTTAGTGTTTTCTAATTTTTCTCGCTCAAAAATGCTATTTCCTTCTGTCAGCCCGCGGTAGCGACCCAAAAAAGGGGGCCAAATAGGGCAGGTGTTTGCTCCAATAAAGGTTGTTGGGAAGTTACGGCATACTTTCATTGGAAAGTAATCAAAAAATGTAAAACGTATTAAGTTTTAAATAAAATTGCCAATTGTGTAACAATATCCATTTTTTTATTGGCTTTTCTTTAAGTGCACACCTTCCCTGAATGCACGTGCATGACTAGGCCCTAGGAACTACCCCAACGGCACCCAGAAAATTCTTCGAACTCGGCCGGCGTTATGCACTGACACATGATCGAAGAATTTAGGATGTGATGAATAAAACGTGACAAATAGAATTTCATCTACTTGAAAAAATCTAAGTCCCTCAGATAAATATAAACAGTGAAACTTCGGACAGGGTGTGACGATGTAAACAGATCACGTGATCGAAGAATTTTTCTGGGTGCTCTATCCTTAACCTGATCCACCGGTCCAGATGCTTATTCTGGACCAGTCAACTTTTGATTGGCTAATCAGCCCTTTTATTACATAACTCCGGCATAATTTATTTTATCTCTTACTCTTCCTATCTTTCACTCTTTCTCTATTCTTTTTTGTGATATGTTAGTACTTAGTATTTCATATTTCATTTCAGTTTGTATATTTTAATTTTAATTGTATTTATTGTAGTTTTATGATAATACTAAATGTTTTTTATTTTCTTTTTGAAGAGTTTTATGATATATTGATATTATTCTGGAAATCAAGTGTTTTTTTTTTAAGTTTTGGGGTTAAGCAAAGTTGTTCAAAAAAGGTTGTAAATTACACATTTATAACAAAACTTTTAATACTATTACTTTGTACTTTTGTTTTGATATTAACGTTAAAATAATTTTAATAATAAAATTACAGTAAAAAATAATGTAAAGACCTTTTTTATAAAGTTATATATGCAATTTTACTTATTTATTAATAAAGTTTAATAAAATGCATACCAAAATACAAATTTTAAATAACATATTACTTTAAAACGGTAGTATTAAATGCTTTAAAAAAAGGCATTTCGTAACTTTTTTTTTAAAAAAAACGCGAATTGTTTTTTTTTCCAAGACAAATGTTACACAAAACAATCTCATCCAATTAGATTTGCTGGTCCAGGATAAGCATCTGGACCGTGGCCCAGGCTCGGGTTATATAGGCGTGCACTTATGGAGGTACGACTGTAATGATATTTATATTACGTACTGTATATTAAATATTCTGACCAATGGGCGTAAAACACGAAAGGACCAACCTTTTCCAGGTTAATTAGCTCAATATGCTGATCTTTTCTCCTTCGCCACAGTTTGCATCTTAATTTGTAACTTCGCTTCCTTCCCGTAATTTTACAAAATCTTGAATAAAATATGTCGATCATTTGCACGTGATAATAATTAGCCACTGTGATCAATAAAAAATAAATATACTACCCTTAATAATAAGAAATTCCGAATTTGTCTAGTGATTGAAAAAAAAAAATTTCTAATTTAGGTGAAGATTTACCAGATACAGTAAATTTTAAGTGGTAATAAAAAAATGCGCGATAGTTCTATTTTTAATAAGATTTGCCGTTCATTATATTATCCCATTGTTTGCAGATAAGTATTGATAAAATTATTTTGATTGGTGTATTGTTAAAGCGTAAAATATACACAAGTGACACAACATTAATGCGTACCAATTTCACATTAGAAACAATGTTATATTGGTTTATTTGTCTCTGTAAAAATGTTGATCCGTGTTTCATATTCCATATTTTTTCCATAAAATGTAGATATTCACGGGATTTATCGTGAATCCACGGAGCTTTTACAGAGAGATACAGGAGAAAATTTTTATAGGGTGTACAATTTAAAAGGTATAAATATACAAAATGTAAACGACTTTTTATTGTTGTTGTTATTTCCAACTCTTTTCCTTTCCTCTATTAATTAATTCAATTAATTTGATCTTTTTTTATTATTTTCATCATTATGTGGTTGAATAGAAATTTTCTTTTCATTACGACTGGTTTAGTCGTTTTGATGCTTTTTTTCTCGTCATCAGTAGCAACTAATGATCACCATTATAAACACTGCAGCACTGCTATCAGAGCACATCATTATACTAAAACTGTTTACCCCTCACATTGCCCAAAAAGATGCCCTAAAACAACAACTACTACATCTACCACTACTGCAACCTCCGCCACCACCACCACCACCACCACAACCACAACCACCACCACCACTACCACTACCACTACTACTAGCACCACTTTTGTCCCTCCTGATAACTTATTAAAAAAGAGGCATCGACAAGATGACCATGAAGCCATTAAGTGCGTTCCTGATAAACAGAAACACTATATTCATAGACATGGAAAATGCACAGAAATCAGATATTGTACCCCAACTGTTTATAAACCATGCCCCAAAGATAAAACCACAACAAAAACCGTTCTTGCAACCTCTACCTTAATTTCTACCTCCACTTCTACTTCTACTTCCACCTCCACTTCCACCTCCACTTCCACCTCCACTATATTAATTCCTACATGTATGCCTGATGGTTCTCCATGTACTCTTGATAATTTTATTACGTGCTGCCATCAAAGTTGCTTTTTTGGAGACAATTTCCCTAATGGAGTATGCTTCTAAAATATATTTTTTGTAAAATATCCGGGTTATTTTAGATAGTGACAATTTAATTTTAAAGTAAGGCTGTATATTTTCTTGTATTCGAGGATACAGGGTAATATATAGTTTTTTTTAATTTTTCTTGTGTAAAGCAATTCACCATAATATGTATATGTCAGAATGAAGCTCGTAAAACGTGATTCATGCGAATAATAATGGTTATACTGTGGGTGTGTTCACAAATTCAATTAAATTATCGATTTTGTAATTCGTTGTATGTCTTATATACCGTCAGTTTCTCTAATTTTACAAATAAAATTAATAATTGATATCTAACCCATTTATAGTATGTGGCTAGTTATAATTAAATATTTCTTAATTAAAAAATTTCTCATTTAACTATTAATATTATATTGAACATATTAAAAGATGGAAGGACAAAAAGAACGATAACGATAAAAGATTACGAACTGTGTTCAGAGTACGAAGGGAGAAAAAAATTTATAAAGACGTTTAGTGGACTTTTTAAATTTTTCTTAGCTATTTAATGTTATAAATATCGTTTTTTAACAAGAGATATATTACAACTATAAATTTAAAATAGCTTCCATTTTATTTTTGTTTTTTTTATAAAGGAAATTGTAGATATTTAATCTAAATTCTTTTTAGAATATACGTTGTATATGTACATATTCCATTACTATAAATAAAAAAAATACATAAAGAGAAAATTAACTTTTTAAAATCATCAATGAATCGTCTAGATTGTTATCGAAAAAAAATTTACCCAAGAGCACCCCGAAAAATTCTGCGGCATCACACCCTGTCACACCCTCCGCCTTTCCATTTTTATAAGTATTCTGGGGCGTGAAAAACTATTTGTCTCATCACACCAAATATTCCACTAAAATAGATTGATCGTATCCTCGATCATCCTGTGTTACATTAAATTTTTTCCCATAAATATTTTAACGTTGAGGCATTTTAATGATTGCAAATTTAGTTAATATCAAAATCACCGTACTTGGTAAAGGATCGTACATTGTAAGATATGAATTTCGTACATTAGTACAATTTCGTGCTTTTTGTATGATAATCATATAATTTTAAAAAAATTTTATATTTAATTATTTAATTTGTAATTCAATAAAATTAAGGCCCTATTTAAGACCATTATTTTTTTTTAAATTTTTATTATAAAATCGGATACAGTATAGTACCGTCGTACTGTTCTAATTAGGTTTTGGTACGAAATCTCGAAAATCATTTGAGTGATTGACACAAGACCGACAACAAAATCTCGACAATCCAATATCTTGACAAGTCAAAATCCTGACAAGTCAAAATCCCCGACAAAATTATAACACATTTAAATTAAATATTACATATTGCAACAAATTATTTTATTAGAACACACATCACAAAATTGTCGATATAATGACTTGTCAAGATTTTGGATTGTCGAGATTATGTTGTCGATCGTGTAAAACTATAACACGTTTATTATCGGAAACGTCAGAAAAAAAAGTTTATTATTATTATTATATTTTACACGTGAAAAAATACAATGAACCATAAAATTGAACTGCAAAAGTTGCATTCAGATGAAGAATTATTTTACAGAATCAAAATCTTTGTCAATGACCTTTTTAACTTTTAATGTTAGTCGTGCAAGTGACTGTCGAGATTTTGATCGGATACCTCTAATTGGTTCTAATTGTACTAGTAAATTTCCAAATCCTGTCCTTAAGTATTCAATGAAGTTTCCCTTCGACTCACATTTTTTTGTACATATTTGATATTTCAGTAATTCTTTTTCATATAATTTCTTGTATTTCTTGTGCAATTTTCTAAAAACTCAATCAGTTCAACTGCCTGCAAAAAATATATACTTAGAATTATGAATCGTTCTTATGAAAGTGGAGTCCGTAATTATCCTGAAAAAATTATGTAATTGTCATGAAATAATTCGTTTGTAATGGGAATAATAAAATTAAAAGAAAAACAGTCAACCACCGGTCGTCCTGCTGTGCTGGATTGCTTGTTATACTTGCACACCGATTTGTGTTTTTATTTTCTTTATTTCACAAATGAAAATCTTATTATAATCATCATTTATCAGAATTAAGATGGTTTTTTACTATTTGTTGTTAATCGTAATACATGAATATAAGTTTTATGAATTATTTCACCATGTTTTAATGATTATTTTATAAAAAAAAAAAAAAATACAATCATTTTTCCTACATTACATATTCGTATGGTCCTAGGCCACCAATTTGGTCAAACTATTGTTGTATTAATTGTCTATAGGAAAACCGAATTATTTTGTAATTAAAGTGTACAAGTATGTTTTAATGCACGGTTAAAGTGTATTTTTATATACTTAAAATATATTTAATTCGAGATCCGGCTATAAATCAGTGAAAATTACTATGGGCATATGGGCCGATCTAATCATTAATCAATCAACGCACCTGACACACCTCATTTGCCCATAGACCGGTCTAGGCCTTTCCTTTTTTGGGATAAAGATACAGTATATGTAGATCACCGACTAAATATATGCCGCACCTGCTACC